TTTCTTCCATCAGTCAAATATTGTAATGCAAGACAATAAACCCAAAGAGCACTACTGCAGTAACCTCCCAGAAGACTTAGCAGTTGACAGAATAGGCTGGGGACCTTCCTGAATATCCACTGTCATAGAATCATTTAGGGTGGAAAAAACCTGTAAGATCATCAAGTCCAACTGTAAACCTAACACTACCAACTCCACCAGTAAGCCATGTCCCTAAGCGCCACATCTACACATCTTTTAAATACCTCCAAGGATGATGACTCCACCACTTCCCTGGGCAGCCTGTTCCAGTGCCTGACAACCCTTCTGGTGAAGACATTTTTCCTAATATCCAATCTAAACTCAGCATGAGACTGCTGTGTGCTGCCCATACAGCTCTTCAGCCCTCCTGTTAGGATGCGATGGTATCCCGCATCCCTCCTGGGCTGGCTGCAGCTGTCTTTTCTTCTCCTGCTTCTACACTCTAAAGACTTCCTTGGCCTGCTCTGTAGGTGGGTGATGTGTTGCAGAGGCAGGGATGAGGCCAAGATGTGGGAGGCATGGAGTTCTCAATCTCCTGCTGACAGAAGGACCAGAAGATCCTGGTCTGGTGCCTGTCTCCCTGAGAGCAAGGGAGCCCTCTCCTGCACTTCTACCCTCTAACCCTTGAGCTTAGAAATCATACTCCATTCATATTTCATGTTTTATTGCTTACACTGTAGCCCTGTTGATGCCGCTTTCACATCTGCCCTAGGTGCCAGCCCAAAGTTATATGACCATTTAAGGCTCAAAAGCACGCTCCTCTGTGCCACAGAGGCCCATCCAGGCTTCTATAGGATGGCTCAATAGAGACAATCTCCGGATGAATTAAGAAGAAAACAGTGTAATCAATCAGTATTAATGAGCACAGCCCAATTGTTAACAAGCTGCTTCTGTGTCTCAGGCACTGCCTTTGATCTCCTGTGCAGATGAGTGCTGGCAAGATGTCAAAACGCAAACTATATCCGTCTCACTGGGGTTTGGTGCGATGTCCCTCTGCTGACAGTGGATCAAGCAGAACAAGTGCATGACTTCAGCTTCCTGATTTATTGTGGCTGGCTGGGAATAAATGCCTTTCCAAGGCGAAGATCCGATCTCAAGACCAAAATGGTGTTAAAACAAAAGCCAGCCTAGCAGAGCTAGCTGTTTGCACAAGGGGTGGACAAAGGGGACTGTACAATTATGAAATGAAGGCTGGCTTTCTCCAAAAGCTGGGAACCTGTATGTTGTTATTGCAGTACTTAATACATGGCTGGATTCCCCAAAGCACGTAGGAAACCTCTGGCAAGCGAAGTCTCGTGGGGATTCACCTGCTGTAGCTGGAATGTGGTCGCTAAAACTGGCTGCAGAGTGAGGTGGTGATGAAGAGCTAATGCAGTCAACCCTGGTAAAAAAACTTGAGGGCTGAACACATGGCATTTGGTAGCAGCTTTCTGATGGGTAAAAATGAGTATTTTTAAAAGGAAGGTAGGATACTCACACACAGGAATGGTTTCAGACTTGTTTTGAACAATGCTGCAGCTTTTTCTTTGTGCCAGGGATGGTCTGCGTTTGTACGGTGCCTAAAGCCGCTTCTCTCTTCTAGCCCCAGCCATTATGGTAATAACGAGAATAACAGCAGCAGCAGCCGTGCTGTGTATGCTAATGACCACGTCCTCAAGTGAGAGCAGGTTACATATTGCTGGGAAAGATGAAGAGAAAAGCCAGCAGGGTTAAGATATGACAGGAACATTTAAGAACTGTATAAACAGTAGAAAACTGACAGGCCAAAACTTTGGTGAAGGAGCATAATCCCGCTGCAGGGATACATTAGAAAGACAACAAATGAGGTACACAGTGAAGAGCTGTTGGTAAAAAGAGAATGTCATAAGGAGAATTTGTCCGTTCCTTTTTCTTTAATTAAGAAGAAGGTGGAAAACCATGAATAATTTATCAAAGGAAGGATGGAGAGGGTTTTTATTGGTACCACAAGAAACAGGCTGTGAATGTGAGATTCTTTATATGATTGGCAGAGTGTGAGATACGGGAGCAGACCATACTGACAAAGCTGATGCGCTCTGGGTGCTCTGAAAGAAATAAGGACCAGAAACAAAGGAGGAGCTGTCAGATCACAAGTAACTTAGTGAAAATACAAGCCGTGCTAAGATGGGATATTTCATTTACCACTGTTCATGAAGTGTGTAAGAAGACCCTATATAAAAAAAGAGGGGTTTGATAGAAGACATAATGCTGCCTGACCCTGGGCTTCTCTTTGCCTTTTGGAGAACCTGTTCCATGGAGCACTTGGGATTGTAAGAAATGATGGACACCACGAGTGGTAGTAGCACATACTGCATGGATTACTTTCCCATGTTACCATTTCTTTACAGTTGACATTGAATTTCTTTGCTGTTTCGCAAACTACTTACTCGAGAGATGCTTCTGCCACTCTTCCCTTAATCACAGTCACTATTCCAAGTAATGTCGTCAGATCTATTCATGTTCTTGGGAGGACTCTGGCTATCTGTCAGTCTTACCCTGTCTATGCTTCTTAAAGAATGTAGTAGGCGAGGTCCCACTACAAAGATGTAACTACATAAAACCCAGCAAGAAAGAATGGATCAAGCATGTTACAGATTCACAACCAGCTCAAGGCAGGGAGTAAGGGTCTGTTTCCACAGTGCAAGGTTACTGAAGATGTCTCCCCTTCTTCTCACTGACCTGTGTTACCCATCATATTCATAAGGGACAGAGAAAGAACATGAGTGGGGGAACTGAGAAGTCTGCAGTTTTGTTGAACAACGGAGGGTGACTGCTTCAGCGGAGCTACAAGCCTACGCTGTTGAATCAGCCGCAGTCACAGCCTGTGTGCTGCTTTGGAGAGGCAAGGGATCTGGCGAGACACCAGCAGGGTGGAAGGGGGATGCTGTGAGATCCCTGCTCTCGGGCTGCAGTGGCTGTCCTCCAGCCACAGCCATGTCTGCTCCCAGGACAGCAGTGTCCAGCTTCTCCTGGTCAGAATTCAGCTGCTGCTGACTCGTGAACACCACCCAGAACAATCCAGTTTCACTCCTGTTGATCAGCCACATGTGCTGTATGTCCTACAGCTATTGGCAGAGAGACACCAGGGACGCAGTTGCCCTTTACATGCTGCCTCCACAGACAGGAAACTTGCTTTCTGTTCCATGGTCAAAGAGGCAATGCACAAGGCAGCAGCGTAAATAACCTCCTGCATGTGCTGCAGGACCTTCACATGAATACAAGAGCAAGATGGGAAAAGCAATTTGCTTTGGGTTCATTATCGCAACAGGAACATGGGCAGAGTGCATCTTCCACTTAGGCAGACCCTATGGTTGTGGCCTGGGTTTTTGAACAGGTATCAAGCAGCCCAAGAATCATCAGTGTCAGTATGATCTCATAAAAGATGCCAATGAATTGATATCTCTGTCAAGCTGGCACAGCACCTGGAATACACACACACGCTTTGTGATCACAGCTGCATCTCCCTTGGTCTCCTTCTTGAGCTCAGACCAAGGTTCAAAAGTTGGTGTACAAGAAAAAGTCAGGCAGAACGTACTGAGGTTCCATTTGGCAAAATGCTTATATTAGCCTCAAGCAGTGTTTCCTGGGCAAATATCTGCCAGAGAGGCTCTGAATGATTGCTATGGCTAAGCTCTCTGTGAAAGGTATCTAGAACATACATTGCAGCTGGGCATCATACATGAAGATCCATCAGATGTTATCCTCCCGATGTCAATCCAAGACAGAGGACCAACTGGGTTAGGCTGGAGACACAACACAGAAGTTCCTAATAGTATTTGCCAGGTATAAACCAGCACAGCTGTACTTAACCCAGATACCAAACCAGACAGTGAGACTTGAGCAGTACAAAGTATTGATCAGAAAGCAGCCTCTGTTTCTGGGTGATGCACACTTATATGCATCCATCCCTACTTTCAGATCTCTGAGGCTCACCAAAAGCACCACCCCAAAGAGATGTTCTAACCAGTGGTAGAGGCCTTGTGGGTACCTCCCTCTGCCTTGTCTGTATCGGGCAGCCAACAATTTGTGTTCTTTGATGAGCACATCTGGAACAAAAGTACCCTCAAGGATCATTGCAGAGCAAACTGCAGATCCCCCACGGCCAAGGGAATGAAAGAAATCCATAATCCTGCTCTTCCCCTGCCCTCAATGAGGGAAGGATTGTGTCCTTGCCAGCAAGGAGCGCTGGCAAGTGATTCTCAGAGCATACTCCAGCTGGTATTTGAGACACTTGAAAAAGCCTGTGTTTGAAGAAGCCAATGCGTGACATTCTCCAGCAGCAAAGCAGCAGTGGGAGGAGAAAGACCCTCTCTCACACACCAAAGGCACACGCTCATCGAAGTGTGAACGCCTCGGCACTCTTTACATTTGCCTTTTCAGTGAGCATTTTCCTTGAAGCTTCAGATGTTCACAGGGATGAAAGACAAGGATTTCCTCAGGATGTTTTGCAAGATGTTTGAATGCCTTCTCATCCCACCTTTCTCACTGGGCCTGAAAAGGAGCCAGTTTGGTTTTCAGCGTGTCCCAGAGAATGACCCCACCGAAACTCCTAGGTGCCTCCAAAAAGACATCAAGTCATGATAATCACGGGAGAGGAGGTGTTCAGACAGAAAACAAAAGTGGACAAGACATAAACCCTAAATAAACCACCTGAAAACACAGCCTCTGCGGTGTGCATCCAAGTCTTTTGGCATAGGGAACAATGAGAATACATTGGGTTTCTGCAGAAATGTAAAGCCTTATGTTTTATGCTTTTCAAAAGTAGTGTTAGACAGGGCTGTGGGCCATAGGGTGTTGCCTGAAGAAAACCAGCCTAATCTCACCAACCATGCTAACCCACCCCAGGTGAAGCTGTTTGACATGAAGTGCCAATGACTTGATTTACTGTAGGTGTGTTGTAGCTGGAAATTACAAGAGCTGGAAGTGACGGCACTACCACATCCCAGGGAGTTTCCACTGACCAGCACTGATGTTAGAGCTGGGTTGTACAGACTATTTGGCTTCAGTAACTCTGCTCTGTCAATCATCTTGAGGAGACTGTGCTGGTTTCTGTATGTTGTATGCCCAGCATAATCTGCTGTAGAAATTTTCCCTATGGGACCCAGCTCTGCACTTCCCTGGAGTGAAGGAGGCTTTTTGGACTAAACCCCCCCCAAAAAGTAAGTGTTTCTATATGATAATGATCCATTATTTATGAAGCAATGACTGCCATAAATCCCAAAGTTTAAACTCTCTCTGCCTCCCTGCTATACTTTCTTAGAGAAATGCAAGAAAGAAGAGTTGTATTGTCTCAGTGATTCCAGCAATTTATAGAACAGGTAGATTAGAAGAGGTGGACAAAGCTGGTAGACTAACTGCTTGCAGGCAAGAAGCGTTTAATAGAGACAAGTTCTTTTGTAGGAAAGAATCTACACTAACTGAGCAAAGAAAAATTTACAGAGCGCCCAGAAAAACTGGTATAATGTATTGGTATCCTGTCAATGGGAGAAGAAAGGAAAAGAAAAGGATTGTCAGTGATCTAGCACCAAAAAGGCAGACATTTGGAGGTCAAAAGTACTGTGTTATGTATGCATAGTATGTTCAATCGATTAACCCCATGAATGTGAGAAGAAGCTGCTATTTTGAAGTGGATGCATGTAAGGCAAATCCAGGGCAAAATTTTAGAATTAGAATTTAGAATTACATGAAGGAGCAAAAGATTAAGAGAATAATGACAGGTCTGGCATCAGGACACCCACAGTCTGAAAGGGCCATGCTATCATTGCAGTCATGCCCCTGAAGGCTTCTCCTGTCCAGGGGCCAGACTTGCCACTTGGAAAAATGATGTGAAAGGTGCTGTGGAGTCCTCCTGCTTTTGCAGAAGTGTGAGCACATCAGGAGCCAGGCTTGAATCACAGAATCCCAGACTGGTCTGGGTTGGAAGGGGCCCTAAAGCTCATCCAGTTCCAACCCCCTGCCATGGGCAGGGACACCTTCCACTAGAGCAGGTTGCTCCAATCTCTGCCCAGCCTGGCCTTGAACACTGCCAGGGATGGGGCATGAAAGGTGGACAGAAGTCAGCTGTGGCTAAAGAGCTTGAAAGGGGAGGGCAGGGTGATGAACTCTCCATCAGCTCTTCTCCTGCAGACATAATACAACGTTTCTGGCAAAACGGATGTGTGAGTATTCCTGATGAGTCTGCTTATGAAAGAAACAGGATACAGCCACGACTAAGTGTGCCCATTTGGAAGAAATCACTAGCATGTTATTAAACAGTTAACCTTCCCAATTTAATTCGTTGAATCTGCTGGGAGGAGGTTCCAGATTGCTTGCAGTGTGCTTTGGGAGTGGTTCCAGCTCAGTAGGGACCTAATCCTTGTTTACCCTTACTCTGGGCAGAAGAAACAACATATAGCGGTGATGGTTTTGACTTGGTTTTCAGCTCTTCTATTTAGAAGCAATGGCTCAGCTCCCCAACCTGTTGTAAATCCAAGTCTCCGCAGTGGAGCTGTTCTGATTTACTCCAGCTGAAGGCTTGGCCTCTAGTTCAGAAGAAATGGGCTGCCAGTTTAATTACTTTATCACAGGTATGGCATTAATAATATGGGAATACATTTAATGCTGCTAAGTAACAGCAATACAGAGGATTTTGTCACATGCATGACAATTAATGTGTGGTGCATGGTATTTCTGCTTCTCCTGAGTTCCCTTTTAAATGATGCTCCTTGTGATTTGAATTTCAAAGAGTACTTCTCCTAGTATTTCTCATTATTGATGGTGACTGTTCACTGGAGCATCTCAGTGCTGCTTTGTTGGCTCATCACTTTTGATTCTATGCCCAGATGCTAAGGACAGAAGCATATAATTAATTTGGAAGCACAATCCTCCACCGATTCTGTCAGGGAGATCTTCCTTGAACACCAAGGGCCTGACTTCCTTTAATATTGTCTTTACATGGAAAATGTCTTCCTTTTCCACTGCAGATCTCTTTTGTGAGAAGAGATCTCAAAACTCTTCTTGCTGTAAGAATATACAAAAAGACAGCAGAGAACTATAAGCTATAGGGGATCCCCTCCCTGTTGTGGGGGAAAAAGGAGATCTGATTCTGGAGGCACTGGATAAGCAAGACAAAAAGGGCAAGCAGTTTGGGATCCAGACCTCTTCCCATGGACAGAAAGGGCAAGAGATAAGAAGTTGCCTTTTTTTCCTCTGGAATGCTGGGGGTCTTTGACTTCCTGAAGAGCTTCCCTGTACACATCGCTACCCACACGGACACGGCTACAGCAGTCTGAACACAGCATATGAACTAGTACCTCCAAGGCTTCCTGCACTGCCCAGGGCAAGCAGGGAATTGCCAGAGCATCCCTCGGATATTTGTTAGAACATTTTCTTTGTGAAAAACCCTTCCTCTCCCTTTGACAGCTACTCCAGGGGAGAAGAGCCCTGTATCATATATAAAAGGCAGGTAAGCACATAGAAATTAATAAGAAAGACAAATTTATGTTCCCCTCTGCATTCTAAGGTGGCATCAGTTAATCCAATGAGCATTCCTGGCAACTAGGTATTTATCAGCCAGACAGATTAAATGTTTTAGTGAATCTAGTGAAATGCTTGTGGGACCATTCATTAAGCAGTATTCAAGCTATCAGTCCTCACCTACGTTACTTACTAACCATAATGTCCTATCATTTTGGTCTGTCCCCTCCAGTTTGCCCTTCCACAACTTTTCGTATCAGCTTCTTTCTCCCTGCCTGTGAAAGGCAATTGTTTCTCATGGAGCTATCCATAACTTCCATCAGCTTCTCATTCCATTATTCCTTATGTACAGCATGTTCTCTCCTTGCCTGTGGTCTGTCCAGGTAGCCAAGCCTGAGACCAGGTCCTGTCATCTGCCTACATGTCTTTACAGGACACATCCTCTTCAAGCTCTTGGCAGACACCCTGAGGAGCAGTGGGACTGCATCCTTGCCACGGGAGCTGCAGCAGGAGACTGGAGTTGGGAATCTGAACTTCTCTTTATTTTCATGGTCTGTTAGTGCAGAAAGGAAAAGGCTTTTTCATTAGTTTCTTGCCAGCCGCAGAGCACTCTCCTGGTGTTCCAGTACAGGCACCAACTAGTTTAAATCTTTACAATGATGGAGGATTTGGAAACCATCGTGTCCTTCATGCACAGATGCTCTTGAGGCTTCTAAGCTTTGAGGCTTCACCCAGGCTATGTAGGCTGCAGGCAGCAAGAAAAGAGCCTGGCACTCTCCTTAAATCATAGTTGCCAAAGTGGAAATCAAACTCATAGGGCTTAACCAGCTCCCTAAACACTGGGGCATCCTCCTCCCTCCAGCCACTGCTCCAAAGAGGCGCAGCTCTTCCAGATGCCTCGTGCCAAGTCCGTTGACATCATATGACAGAGGGATTCATCTCTTTTTAAGGGGCTGAATCAGCCCAATGTGACAACCTGCAATTTGTTTAATTTACCTTAATGTCTGCCTAGTCAGGCATCAACATGCCCAAATCTATGTCCGAGGCCTTCAGTGGGACTAGATGCTTTCCTCTACTCCCCACTTTTCCTGTCCTGGCTAGTTAAGTATCAGATCTTTGGGGAAAGGACTTTCTCTTACCATGTTTATATACATGTCCCTACATACTGGGAGCCTGAGAAATACTCTAACACAGATAACAGTTCAATTTTCATGGCACTCAGCTGCAAAGAAGCATTTGACTTAAAGCAGTTCTGCTGCAGTTTCACAATGGATGAAAGGCACTTAAAGTGAAACAGCTCAGGAGATCCCTAACGTATCCAAAGGGAACCTTTATCATCTCAGATTGTCTGAGTCTGTTCAAGGTCTGTAGCACCTAAATATTGCCACCAATGACGGGTTCCTTCCCTTATAAAATAATCACAAGGTGGCCTTGGCATGTTTCCTGTCTGACAGATGGCCACATCTCAATTAGCACTAACCTATGCCTTTCCTGGCTACCTCAGAAGGCCAGCAATGCAAGGCAGCACAGAAATGATACAGCTCCCTCTCCCTTGGAGCTGTCCATACTGGTCAAGGAGCTGCCTTATGAATAGAGAAGCATCGGTGCCAGCCCTTGCTGTAAGGCTTTCTGGAAGCATCCCAGGAAGTTCAAACCTGAGAGCTGCATGCAGGGAGACGAGGCACAGATGGCAAAATAAGAGCAATGGGATTTTTTTCTTCTTAACTTCTGAGTCTCTCAGCTCCTGGACACATGAAAAACTGGGTCACTTGATCTCAGTTCATGTAACTCATCTAGAGCAAGGGAGGTACAGACAACCCCTTCCAGAGACTGGGATGAGGACCTGTGTATGGAAAAAGATGCTCCTGTCTCACTTTTGCTAGCAGGTCCTTCCAAGTTAATCTAGTACCAGCTGTAAAGTCCTACACCCTGTTTACTTCATCCTCCTAGCAGAGGATATCTCACAGCCATGCTTTCTTGGTGCAGGTTGGGCAGAGGGGCAGTGACTGCATATAGATTCTTGCTTTTGCATGTAAGCATCCATATCCAGTTTATAAGAGTAAAGAAGAGTTCAAAGCAATTAAACACTTTATTTTGAGCTAAGCTACATGGTTCACCCAGCCAAAAAAAAAAGGAATATATATATATTTTCAATCTGCCATGAATACAGAATAAGACATAAAAATGGTTAAGTCAAGCATTTTCATTATTATGAAATATATAGAATATAAAGAGCTACCAGCAAGCAAATCAACACAAAGTTCAGCTCAGCCATCTCGGCTAATCCTTTTTTCTTTCCCAGAAAGCTAAAAGCACTCCTGGCTATGCCTTCGGGGTCTAATCCAATTAAATGGAAAGATTCTTCTTGCCTTTGGCAGGAAGAGGTTACAGATTTTGGGCTACTTCCCGCTTGCTCTGTACCATCGCTCTGAATTATCATCAAGCGAAACGTGGCTCAGGCCACACCGGTACCTATGGTGCCAGGATTTTTGGCTGACTAAAGAGGACCGCAGGGGACAGTCAACCACCCAGCTGTTGCTTTAGAGGTATTAAGTGGCGTTTTGTTTCCTCTGCAGTGAAGGATGCTGCATAAACAAGGAGCCATCCCCAGAGCCGGCAGGAGCCTTTAGCAGAAAGCTTGCAGGGAAAGATGTAACCCAGGTTCTTCTGCTGGAAGAAGGAAACTTCTTTGGTAATCTAAAAGGTCTGGGCTTCGATCTTGTGCTGGGAGCAGTGAGAAGGAGCAGCACTTGGTCCATCCTCTCTCCTTCTTCCTTCTCTGGTGATAGGTGGTGCTGCTGCTCTTCCTAGAGCCCAGGGATGCACTTGCAGGTCGCTGTCTTTCCGTTTTCCCGGTCAGGGTGCCCTGGAAACTGGAAGAGCATATACTCCACTGGGACCCTCAGACTTTGTTTGCACAGCTGAGGACCACAGCCTAGCTTTGCTCCCACCAGCTCCCGTGAGTGTTTTAGTCCATCAGCAGATGTACCAGCAAAGGATGCTCCCCAAATCCTCATAGCTACCGCAAAGCTCATCCTCTCTTCCTGCAGCGTTTCACATGTGGTTTCCAGACAGGGACTCTTTCCTGCTTCCACATTGTGATGCCTCCCAGGGGGTTTTGGCCAGGAGGCTTTCAGAGCAGCTCTGTCTCCAAGAGCTCTCACAGAATGACTGCTAATGGTCCTGCAGAGCATCCAGAGGAGCAAAAAGCAGGCAGTCAATGGGGTCTGTGTGACTCTCCAGCCAGGTGCTGTGACTTAGGGTAGTTACACTGAGGCCAGTGGTCAAATGCTTGGTCAGGGCAAGTCATTGTAACAGCCCCAGTCAGAACAGCCAGCTGTGAAATGCTTTTCCCTGGAGATATAACATTATACACCTGCAAAGGCTCACCCTTTCCTTAACCTCTGCCAAACCCAGAGTTACAGGAACAGTTGTTTGTACATCTCTGGTAATTTCTGTTTCCAGCCGGCATTTCCTCTTTACATCCTGCCTTGATGACCCCCAGATCTCTAGCCCCTCGCAGATAGCAGGACCCATGGAGACTCCCAAGCCAACTTTAGGCTGCCCTTCATCCCTCCCATCTCTTCCTATGCTCTAAGCAGCCTTCCCTTCCACTCTTCCTCTTTGCAAGGATTAATCTTGTTCTTATTATTCACCAGATCTTTGAACAGCAGCTTCTCTGGAGCTCAGGCCACAACCAAGCCCTGTTTGGAAGCCCTGGGGAGCAACTGCTCATATCCCAGTTCATAAAGCAAGAAGAGGTCCCTGATTGCTATGTACTTTGTCCTAGCAGGTTGCTGGCATAAACTTAGAATAGCAAGCAGCTCAAGTGAGCCTCCAGCAGCCATCAGGCCCAAGGGAGGTAGACTTCTCCTCCTCCCCTGCCTTGCCCTTCCCAACACTTCTTCATGCTTCTCTCTGTCACTGCAGTGCTCTCTGTCACACAACCTTTCCTAGTGAGGTACATCTGCATCACCCCAGAGGTATGAAAATCGCCTTTAGAATTGGAAAGATTAGAATCATAGAATAGTCAGGGTTGGAAAGGACCTTGAGATCATCCAGTTCCAACCCTCCTGCCATGGTCAGGGGGACCTCACACTAAACCATGCCACCCAAGATTCTAAAGATTGTGTCTAGCAACTGCTAGCGACCATTGCTAGACACATAGCATGAATCTCCCCAGTTCCTTCCCACCCAGTTAGCTGTGAAATGTGTTGGCACAACGCATTAAGGATACACTGTGCATGTTTACATGGTGTTGAATAGAACTCTCGGTGACGCTGCTGGAGAAACCCCAAATCACAAACTAATCTGCTGCAATTCACCTTGCCACAAGTCCCATTCTATTGGTCTTTTAGAAATCTCTCTCCAAAAATCAGCAGGGTACAAGGTGGACAATCAAATCAGGGGTAGTCATTAGTTTCCCAGCATCAGGAATAGGCCAGTTTACGCCAGGCTTAGGGAAGTGGCACAATTAACACTAGTCAGAGCACCGGTAAGCTCCTTTTTGGGAGGTTTTCAGCAAGAGAAGAGGTTGGCAACTAAAAAGGGTGAAGGTCTGGAGCAACAGTGCCAGCCGCTGCAGGTGTTGGGTTGGGATTGCTCCACTGGGATGGTCTTGGTTCTGCTGCAGAACTCAACCAAATGAGGCCTGGTTTCCTCATGGACACAAAGGCCAGTGGTCTTCATGGTCTGAATGAAGAACATGATCGAGTTTGGTGCAAGAATGGAAAAGGTGGAGAAATGGCATTAGAGAAAATCGGTATTTTCCTGATGTCACTGAACCTCCCCTTGGTAACAGCACGGAAAACACTTTGTTTGGGAAGAGTCAGAAGAAAACAAACAGGATCACAGGATGTGGCTGCCTGGAAGCCAGAAAACTTGATTGATGCCGCAGAAATCTCCTCCCTGCTGTGTTTTTGCTGTTGTTTGCTTCTAATTCCAAGAAAACAAAAACAACAAATAATCTAACAGATCCTTTTGGAAATGTTGCCCCATTTCCTCCTGTCCCACAAATACTTGTGGTCACTAAAGCTATTTTGCCAGGAATCTACCATCCATCCAAGCCAGCTGGTATCTCTGGTGCTTGGCCGTAAGTAGCTGCACTGTAGCAGCTCAAAGTCATCTGGTTGAAGCTGCCCCCCCTACAGTTGTGTTCCTTTACAAGCAGAACAGAAAGCCAGCCTTTTTCCTCAAAGTGTTACTCGGTAAAAGCATAATGACTGTGGTTTACAGGCTTCTATTCCCAAGGAAGGAGAGGTGAAAAGCACTTTGGAGAATCAGGGTGATCATAATTTGGGGTTATTTTTTCATCTGATTATGTATTTATTCTCTCCCAGTGCCTATTATACTAAGAAAGAGACTGTTTTCTCTAAGACACAAACCCTGCCTGAAGACTGGAGCAAAAATGAACCAGA